TGGAGTGCAGTGACCGCTCCCGGCCACCGCAGCCTCGACCTGCTGGGCTCCGGCGATCCTTCCGCCTCCGCCTTCCACATAACTGGAACTACAGGCGCGCGCTACCACGCCCGGCTGATTTTTTGATTTATTGTAGAGATGAGGTCTCGCCAAGTTGCCCAGGCGGGTCTCGAACCCGCGGGCTCAGGCCATCCACTCACCTCAGCCTCCCAAAGTGTGGGATGACAGGCTGAGCCACTGAGCCCGGTTACACTTTTTAAATTTTATTTTACTTTGAAGGGTCTTTTAGAATTTTTAAATTTCTGTACAAGGAGCTAGCACGCTTTCATTGAGGGGATGCCTTGGGTAATCCGTTCACGGAAGCTCACCGCGTCCGACTTAATGAAACCTGTGTCCGTCGCCTACTGACGGAAACGCTGGCGGCATGTGGAGGCTGCATTCCCGGAGCAGAGCGTGCTGGCTTGAGCAGACGGCAAGAGCAGGAACCCTGGTCGGATTTCCGGGGCTGGGTCTGGCAGGGGTGCTGACGCCCTCAGGAGTGCCACGCGGCGAAAGGAAGGCGCTCAGACGCACTTTTGTCCGAGGGTGTTGCCACCCTGACCCTGTGGCATCCTGGGCCTGCTGTGAACCGGGTCCCATCCTCAGCTGCGGGGCAGGCGGTGGCAGAGAGGACCGCTTTCCTGCGGACCTGCTGTGGGTTTGTGCAAAAGCCCTGGAAAGTGTTCAGTGACCTGTTTTACAGACGAGGAAGTAGCGAATGGGTCGAGAAGTGTCTCCCGGCCAGGCGTGGTGGTTCGCGCCTGTCATCCCGGCACTTTGGGAGGCTGAGGCGGGAGGATTGCTTGAGTCGGGAGTTTGAGACCGGCCTGGGCAACATAGTGAGACCTTGGCTCTCCAAAAAAAATCAGATAGGAGCCGGGCCTGGTGGCGCCCATAGTCCTAGCTGCTTGGGAGGCCGAGGCGGAAGGATCGCCTGAGCCCAGGAGGTCGAGGCTGCAGGGAGCCAAGATTGTGCTGGGCGACAAGGGAGACCCCAACACACGCACACAGGCACACGACGCATGTCCTGGCCGCAGCCCTCAGATGATGGGTGGGGGGACGCGAACTCAGCCTTGGCCTCCGTCCTGTCCGTCTGTCTGCCAGGCTGGCCGGGCCCGAGGAGTCGGCCTGGGGGGACGAGGAGGAGCCCGCCG